ATTAAATGCATGTAATGTACTTTCAAGAGCACCTGGCACATGGTTGTATAAATGTTAGCAAAAATGAAGTAAAAAACACATGCACCTTCAAAGGTAGGGCTGCTTTGGTCTTCTGCTCTGAATATCATATTTTTTGCCTTGCGACAATGTCTGACTCAAAATAAGTCCTCGATAATTACTTTTGAAATGAACTGCATATGCATAAAAGGGCTTGCTTTAAAACTGCACTGCCAGAAACTTACCCTATAGTTACACTCATAACAGTGTACTAAGATATTTGTACATGGATGCTTATTGCAGCATTACTTATAACAACACTACCAAAAAAGGGGGAAGACGGGGTAAGCAACATCCTAAATGTCCATCCATAGGGGACTGGTTAAATAAATTACTTATATTCATACACTGGGATACCACGCAGCATTTATAAAGAACAAGGTGGAAGTGTATGAGGTAATGTGGAAAGATCTCCAAGGTATGCTAAGTGCAAAGAGCAAGAATAGAGTGAAATAAACAAGCACATATATGTATATGCTGTTTATACATATGTTTGCTGAACACTTGGTCTAGATCCTTTAACAAACGGTTACCTATGGGAAGGAGGGTAAGCAACTTGGATTTGGATATTCTTAAGTTCTTTACTGTAGGAATTATTCCATCACGTACATTTATTACTTTTACTTAAAAATGTTAAAGTGGCTTGCTTTAAAGAGAGCTTTGTGTTCTTGTGTTAGACTTTTCCTCTCTGGAACCAGTAGAGGCCAAGAGAAAGAAATGCAAGTATTTAAAAAAAAAAAAAAAAACTGGCAGGATTTTTTACATGAAACTATTATCTAAAATGACCACAAACAACAACTCTGGTCATAAGAATTCTGTAAAGCTCACTTCATGTTAAACACATTTATATACAATTATATTTTGGAATTCTGATATCAATATTCAGGTCTGCCTATCTATGAGATTCTTTAATCTCAATGATCAAAAAAAAGCAAGTATTAAAAAAAAAAAAAAAAAAAAGATGGTGAGTACCTGGGAAGTAAATAAAGACATTTTACTGGCAAAGAGGCTGATTTCCTGGCAAGTAGAAAGGGGAGGGAATCCACTAGGGGTAGCAATTTTGGACCAGTCGTGTGTGTAAATATGAGAGTTGATACTAATGGAGAGCTTGCATGTGTCAGACACTCTGTTAAGCTCTTTCCAATTACTGTCTCATTTAGTGCTACCTATGAGGAAGCACTATTATTGTCATTCTACCAACGGCAAATGGAGACACAGAGCATTAAGTAACTTGCCAGAGGGGACACAGCTCAGTAGCAGACAGGCTGAGAATCAAACTCGGGCAGCGTGACTAGAGAGCCTGCCTGCCTGTTGATGTCCACAAATACATGGCAACCACTGTCAAGAGACTAGTCCAGGGAGCCAAAGACAGAGGACGTTCTCTAAAGATTTCTCCAGCCCTATTCCTATGACAGTATCCGGCATTTAATAAAAATTCCATTTTGCTCTCAGCTTATAAGAGTCAACACAATATACTCTGGTTGGTTCCAAAAGATTATGAGCCATCTCATATGATAGGGAAATTATACTGTGAAAAGGTCAAAGGCTGAAGTACACCATACAGGCAAATGGGTAAAAAGTGGAAAGGACTCATCCTGGGCAAAAGAACATTTCAACTCCAAAATAACCAAATGACATTCATACACCAGGAAGTGAGTTTAAAGTACTAATGGACAGAATATTCTTCATGAGACTGCCAGGAAAGAGTATAGGATCTGAAAGTCAAACTGGCTGGGTTTGGTTCCTGCTCTAGCTTTCTCAAACTGGCTGTACAACTTTGAAAAAGTTATTTAATCCCACTTGGCCTTAGCATTTCCTTCTAAAAATTCAGAATAAAAACTACCTCCTGTTGCAATGATGAAATTAAATAAGAAAAATATCTTACTACACTTATATATCATGTCACCTAAACATCTGAGTAAAGTGAGCTTATTTTCGGGCCGGCCCGGAGGCGCACTGCTACAGTGCGCCGCTTGGGAGTGCAGCGGCGCTCCCGCCGAGGGTTCGGATCCCACATACAGACCGGTTCCCGCTCACTGGCTGAG